TGATGAGATTTGTGCCTTCATGTGTGTGTGTGTGTGTGAGAGAGAGAGAGTGGGTTGGAAGTACAGAGAAATAACCGTGATTTGAACCAATACAAGATAAGACTAGTTGAAGCTACTTCTTTGTGCAGGTGGCTCAACGCCCTCTCTATCCATGAGTCTATTAATTAAGCACAAGTACTTTCTTTTGTATGTAAGTAGAGATTCGAGACCACAATTAAATCAGTAATATGAGATGTATTCACCCTATTTCGTTTAAGGTGATAGAGGTCTGGGAGTACAATTTTCCCACAATGATATGAGTAGAGATGACGTTTTCATTGAATTTCATATAGCCTTGCTTTCTTAAAAGCTGTTCTCATCCACAGTGGACTGCAGTTTTGACCTCGCATAGGTCTTATCAACACCCTCAACGGAAGTGGAACCGTGAAAGTGCAGAATGTGAGCTTGACACGTTAACCACTCGACCTAGTGAATAATTATTTGTAAGCAATATTATTTTACGCCCGTCCAGTTCATAGTCATAGCGGTCTCTATCTAATAGTCTTAATCATAGCTTTTAAAACGCCAACCTTTCTTTTGTAGCTATGCTTGGAGAAAGAATTAAGCATAAAGACAAATCATGGCAAAAGTTATCCTTATCACTCTTTACATATTCATCCTTAAAAGGGGTATTCTTGACTTATCGAAGGATATTTCATGATTCGTATGCAGACAATTATAGAAAATATCTGAGTATTGGAAATACTCGAGATTGTTATATAATTGGAACTAACCAAATCCCCTTATACCTCATCAAGGTGCTCCGATATAGTGTAATATATGCAGCATTTTAGAGATTTTCCGGTGAGTTTTATTGACTCATTGGTTTAAATATGGCGATAAGGATGATATCCTGCTCTGATGATCGCTATTATACGATGGAAGAATGCTTAGCACGTTTTCACCGGAATCGAAGCAGATAACTTTGGAATCACCGTCAACATGAATGTTCCGGTAAAGATAATTGACAGCTGGTCAATAGGAATCCACCATCGTCTTCTGGTTGGATTGACTTTTAAATCTCTTCAGCAAACAGTATCATTCGAAATGGAAGTAATATCAACTATTATGAAACACGATACTCCTCGATACCTAACCTTTCTTTGCATGCACTAGATTTGGAAAAACAATTATGAAATTCTGTTAGTGAACGTGTTTTACTGGGATATTGGATATGTGAATACATTAGGACAAACTACGAGTGTTTAGCAGACAATTACTAAACTGATTGACTTTCTTGTCGCTTTGTAGAATTGTGGTGTTGTACTAAGAATGGAACTGTTCATTGACGATGCCTGAGAAACGTTTGAAAAGGTACCAAGTCGTCTATCCAACTCTGGAAATTATCATGCCTACTATTGACTCCGGATAAGATACTTTCCTCTAGGTCTTCCTCACAGTACGACCAAGCTGCTGACACAATGTGAAACGACTTCTATACAACGAAAGAGGTTCACGTCCATACTAAAGGCCACACCATCTTGTCTTTATACCTTCGATTGATCCATATGTAGTTTAGGTACATATTAAGGGACTTTGAGCTAGTATTGTTTCAATCAATTGTACATGAAAAGTGTACATACAGCAAATATTTAATCCCTTGTCCAAAATGCCAAACTATCAAAAAAATGTATAGAATATATGAAAAGTTTGTGTGAAAAATGCTTGTCTTTGATAGCCATTATGAGGGGTTTAATTCTCGAAATTCGTAGCCCTGGAAGTCCAGGGTTTGATGACCGTATAATTGAGATAATGATAAGAAGGAGTCCACAGAGAAGAGAATGGGATATATCGAGATAGATATTAAAGGTCCAGAAACATTAGGATCTTACTCAACCTTGAAGTCGTTTTTAAGCTTTAAAAAAAAGATAAAATGCGTGTAGACAAATTTTAAATTGTATTTTGTCTATGTTTGTTGGGTATAAAAAGGGAAAGATTGTAAGTCTAATCTTAATAGATATAAGAAATGAATCATTAATTCTAAACTTGTATGAAAATGCCCAATTTGGTGACAAATATGGAACCCTCGTTTCTAGCTGGTAGATTTAAAAGGAAGTTGTACACCATTTTTCGTATATAAGTAATGTAGTCGATTGTTATAGCAAAAATACGTTTGCTCCATCGACAATTCCACAAAAAAATATGATATGGGAAAAGGCCTAGCCTTTATTAAAATTCACATCTGACCTGTTACCCAAGAGCAATGTGGCCGAGTGGTTAACGTGTCAAGCTCACATGCTTCACTGTCATGGTTCAACTCCTGCTGAGGGTTTTGGTAAGACCTATGCGAAGTCAAAACTGCAGTCCACCCTGGATGAGAACAAATTTTAAGAAAGCAAGGCTATGTGAAATTCAATGGAAACGTCATTTCTTCTAATATAATTAGGGGAAAATTCTACTCCCAGTCCTTCATCACCTTAAACGAAATAGTGTAAATACATCTTATATTGTACACCATTGTTTGCTAAACTACAATTAAATATCCTCGTGACGGGAGTAATTTAGATGTTCTTACCATTATTCTGATCCATACTATTTGGGCATGGCCTTTGATGATATGTTCTAAAGGCTTAATTATATCATTTTTAAAGATAGATATATAGTTTTCATGTGCAGAATAATTGGGTCTCCTGAATGAAATTTAGGATAAAACCAGGCTATTGGGCATATTTATAGGCTATTGCTTTCTTTTAAATATTTTACGTTGAATATCATCATACATTCCTATTTTCACTCTTAATATCTTTTCAGAGATACACTCTAATAAAGGTTTTATTCTGCTGGCCCGCTAACTCAATTATCCCCTTAATTGTTTAGTACTGTTTGGAAATTCTTTCGTGATTTCCTAAAAAGGCTCCCTGATTCACTAAAGAATCACATAAACTCCGACAGCAACAGAGGCCAGAATAAATGGGCAATCTATCTAAGTCATTAAGCTGCTACTAAATATCACGACAAAAACTAGTTCGACCGAAAAATTAGGCTGATACGAAAATTGGTAATTATAAAACTTTCCGACAGGTAAACCAACTACTTAATTTACCGACTATAGCACTTCGGCTTCTTTCAATGGCTACACATCCATCAAAACACAGGACTGCGAGCACTTGGGTGGAAATAATAGGAAATATGATTGAATTTGGACCTTTACTCTATTCCTTCATTTTTGAGCCTTATGGACTCGGTCAGCAGCCCGGACAGAGGGGATCAACCGCTGGCGTTAACCAGTGCCTATAATCATGACGTCGAGAGTGATGGGCCCATGGACTTGGCTGATAACCAGACAAACGTTAACAATCAAAATATTACACCAGACCAGAGTGACGAGGCCTCAGATGCCCAGAGTCCTGCTGAATACTCTCTGTTATGGGACACAGTGAGGTCGGAAACTGTGGAGCAATCAGATCATGAGAAGTTCGATGATGGCGGGGCTGAGTTATATCGTGAGTCCGAGGAGGGCTCGGATGGAGACGAAGAAGAGCTTGGGACGGTAATTAGGGAATTTGAGGCGAGAGATCATAAGCAGATGGAGGATGAAGAGGAAGACAGCCAGCAGGAAGAAGAAGAATATCAGGAGGAAGAAGAGGAAGATGAAGACGATTGTTCCAGTGAAGGAGATATCATGCAGGCGGGGGTCAGGGGAGATGTAATCATAAATGTTGAAGGAGCTGAAATGGAAGATGGTAGGGCGGAGGAGGAAAACGTGATGGAAAAAGTAAACGGAGAGTATAAGCTGAATATGGACACTTTGCTAAAAAATTCGACTAGTAACAATAGTTTACAGTTGCTAGGCCTTCTTGAGAGTGCGGACGAAGCTGGTATGAG